ATGGATTTCTGGAATTATAAGATGGTTTAAAAACACACTTAGGATTTCAACTGTTTGTAATTGAGGGGGAAAGAAAAGAAGGGAAAAGTTTTTTAAAAAAAATGAGAAAAGGAAAAAACAAAGCTCGTATAAATGGGGAGGGGAACAGGGGTTGAAGGGAGAGTAGGGGAATGGGGGAAAAAAAGAACCAAGTTATATCATGTACTGGAACAGGGACTGGGGAGATAGCTCGGTGGAATAAGTGCTTGCCTGACCAGTGCAAATTCCTGAGTTTGATCCCTGGTACCATAAAAAATAAATTAAGAAATTAAAAATTAAAAAATATCACAATTACAGGAACAAATTCTCTGGATGAATGTGATCATTATGTGTATCTAAAATGTACCCAAAAAATCTGATTTTAAAAAAATTATAATTTGCTTAGACTTACTTGTAGTCCATTATACGGGCCTTTGCAGCTTCAATGACAAGCTCATCACATACTTAGGAGTATGAGCCTTCCCGCCCGAGCCTAGGGCACAAAGCCTCAGATTCCCAGTGTGAAGGGTCCAGGGGCTGTTGCACTGAGGGTGACCAAGTCTGCAGGCCCTTCACCATCTCTATCTGTCCTCCAGAACCTGGGGAGAAAGAACTGATAGCTCCCCTCTGCCACATTCTGGACATGCTGCAATTTCTCTGACCCCCTTGGCTACCTGTCTTTATTGCAATCACCCTTTTCCCATCACTGCAGAGCCTCGAGTTGCAGTGATAGTATGGATGGGACATAAGGCCAATGGGTGCATCTGGTGGAGACTCTGAGCAAGCTCAGGCACATGGGACAGTACTGGGGAAGTGTGACAGCTAATCAAGCCACAGAGAAGTCAAAAACTGCACTGACAAGTACTTTCATGATTAGGAAGAGTTCACATTCATACTACCTACTAACAGTATCTGTTAAAACGCAGCTGGAATAACTAAACTGTAACTCCAGTACCAAGATGGGAAATTCAGATCTGATTCTATGTGTTAAATCTGGTCTTAAACAATTTGACAGTGTGGTTCACTTGATCAACTACTATGTTCACATGTGCAAGGGTAAGTGGAGCAACCCAGAAGCCCCTTGAAATGGGTATGTGCACCTTTATCTGACCAAACTGCTATACCCAATTAGTTCAAGTGGAGCAAGCGAGCTGAGTGGTTCGATGCTTGCGCTGAGGAAACCAGTAGCGCTTGCAGCATGGCTGACCAACTGACGAAGAGCAGATTGCAGAATTCAAAGAAGCTTTTTCACTATTTGATGAGGATGGTGATGGAACTATAACAACAAAGGAGCTGGGAACTGTAATGAGGTC